CCTGAAGTAAAATGTGGATGCAAGGTACAGCCGCCCCGGCCGTGAGGGCGCTGGGCGCGGCGGCGTCGCCGGGCGATGACGTCACGCTCCTCTCGCCGCGCATGCGCCCTGCCGCCGGCAGCGGAGGGCGGGCGGGAGGGATGGCGGCCCTGAGGCGTCGGGCCCGGCCTCGGCCCGCCCGGGTCGGTGTCCCGGGGAGGGGGTGGGAGGGCAGCGGAACGCAGCCCTGCCCGGGCGATCGTGCGCTCGGCTGGTTGCGGAGGGAGAGGTGTGAGCAGCGAGGGGTTATCTCTGAGGGGAGAGGGTGCGCCTCTCTGAGGAACGTGTGGAGAAAGGGGGTTTTGGGGGGCAAAGCCCGCCTTTTTTCAGCGGGTGGACGTGAAGGGGGCAAACCGTGCTGAAATGGGGGGGGTGGGGGGCGGGCGGAGACGGGCGACGTGGAAGAGTGCTCGTGGGAATGGTGCTTGCGCCCTGTGAGAGCAGCCGCTGGTTAATTGGGGTAATGATTGTCAGCGGTTTTTTCTGTGTGCTCTACGAAATACCAAAAAACCCCCAACTAATCCTAGTAGCTAAGAAGACTCTTCCAAACGAGTTGCTTAGCCTAAATAAGAAAAGCCGTGGGTCATTTGCCACTTGCTTTTAATTCCACACAGTCCTCTTCCAATTTAAATTAAAGGGGGGAGAAAAAAGTAATTCCGTAGGTATCATCAGGCTCTTGTTCTCAAAGTCGAAAACCAGAGTGCTGAACGATAATCTTTGTTCACCTGCCCCTCCCTGCCCGTAATGTGCCGCACGGAATGCTTCAGAGGTCTTTTGTCTCGCTGGACAGGATGTGGGAGCTATGAAAGATTTTGCCAGGGCAGAGGGACTTGTATTGTGAACTAAAAGATTCAGGGAGATGGGTGTTTAAAATCAAGAATGACAGTAAAGACCAGGTGTCTGGTACAATCAGTTGTGCCACATCACCCCCAAATCACTGCATTACACTACTTGGTTACCCAAATTAAGTTGGTTTTGGTGAACAGCAGCTCTCTGATGTTTCTAGTAATCCATTGATCACTGAGATTTCTTAATGTCGGTGCTCTGAAAAGTGCATTCTTTCTGCCTCTGCAGACCTGCTGACAGTTCCTGATGCCTTCTTCCTCCCTCTCAGCCGTTTGGCGGGCTGGGTACGTTCTTCTCCTTCATGTACCACAGGGCTTTGGAGAGCTACCCAGAGTAATTGTGTTCATAGTAAGAACTCAGCAGGCTTAGCTTTAAGAAACTTTCTCATGTTCTTGCCTTTCTAGGAGGTATCTGAAACATGTCCCTGAATGGTTCGTTCCTGTTTTACTTAGTTTCTGTCTTCCTTTCCATATGGCTTCTCTGCTTCCTTTTTTTCCTCTTTATCCAAGTGTGCTATTAACAAAATTAATAATTTAGGAAAGATGTGCAGAGAAAACACGTTCCAAAAAGATCCTTAGACATAGTTCTTTTAACAGCAGGGGCGACACCCAGATTGTTCTGTTGGCTATGTTGAGGATGCAGCAGAGGATACCCCTTCAGCAGACAGCAGGGTCACATTAGGTACGCAGGGAAATGCGGCGTAATAAAACACCTTGTGGAGCGCTGCTGTGCTGAGAAGAGCTCGGCTGGCCGATACTCGGGAGATGGCTCGGTGAGTCTCACACGTAACAGGGTCACAGGGGGACCAAGAATTCAGATAGTAAAGTTTCCCAAAAACAAAATCTTAAGAGACCACAAAAGTGATATGTGGTGGTTTGCTCAAAAGGGAAATAATTTATAGGCTGTCGACGTTTCTGTTCTGTGGTGGAAGAACAGTTCAATTTCCACCTGACCTGTATCAGCTGTGCTAAAAATAGGAAAGTGTCCTGTTTTGGTCAACTTGGTATGCTTGGAAGATAAAATCTCTGAACCAGACTAGTGGGACTAAGCCAAGAAGAATGAAATCTACATGGTGGTAATCTTTTTTCCTCACAAGTGTCCCACTGGCTTTTCTCTTTGCAACGCTCACTTTGAGAATGAGGGAGATAATATGTTTTTATGCAGACACATACATTTAAAGGAATAAGAATATAGCTGCCTCGTTAATTCATTCAAGTGAGCAAACTCTGAACATTGTGAGGAGCCTCTCGCTGCCACGGTGAAACTGAGCTGGGGAAATCATGTTCCTGCCAGCTTCCGCTGAGAAATGAAGAAACTCATTGTTTGCTGGAGTGGTGGCTCACTTCTGTCAGGCCGAATACTGCTTAGAAAGTTGCTATCAAGTTAAAACCTTAATTAGTCTTAACTGTCCATCGAATCATTAGCTCACTGAGAACATTACACCTGTAAAAAACACTTTGTTCACTTTGTTTCTAAAGCCCCTACAATTTAAATGTAATCCCAAGTGCTTCAAGGAGTTCAGTCAGAAGGAATGGGAGCTGACAGAGCTTTTTTTTTTTTTTAAAGAAGCTTTAATTGGTTGTTAAGTTGAAGCTTTGATAGGAGAAATGTTGTAGGTTAAATTAATAGGGAAAATTGAGAAACAATTAGGGCAGCTTTAAATTAATTACTTACACTGTTTATTTTGAGCCTATTGAACAATTGTGTTGTATGCATAAGGGATTGAAATTAGCCATCTGTGCAAGATAGATTTGACCTAAATTGACCTTCTTGGGTAAGAAAGTAGCTTGCCCTAATTCCTATACTTTATGCGTAATTCTACTGGTAGATAAGCTTAATTAGAAGCAAAGATGAACCTGCCTGAGATGTTCCATACTTTCCTGTTGAAACTAAAATCACCGGTGCAGACAAAGGTAGGGAAGGCTTTCCAAGAGATGGCTGAGGAGATCACAAATGATCTAAACAGTTTCTTGTTAACCCTAACTGTGCTCTGCTGAGTTCCATTCTCCTATTGTCAGCAGTGTACCTGTACAATGCCCTATTCGGGGGCATGAGGTATCACCCCGTAACTACTGTTTAGCTTCTGCTGTTTGAGGAAAACCTAGGAAAGGACAGTTAAGTTTATTTGAACTAAGTGGTATGGGCTCTCTAATAGCAGTAGGGTCTTTTTACGCCCTGCTCCATTCTGCTGTGTTTTTTTTCAGGGAGCAACGGGGGCGGGGCAAATGACTTGGAAGAAGAATTATGCAAACAAAATATCTCAAATGCTCGTTACAAAATGGGAGCAAAAAAAAGTTATTCAATTTTGAAACTGAAAGGGTGAAAATATTGGTGCTGATTTTTCAGGCACGGAAACACCCCCCCCCCCCCCCACACTTTTTTCTGTTTGTAGGAGGCCTATCCCAGAAGTGCTCCGGCTGGCCAAGAGGAGTCTCCTCACAGCAGGTGGGTGGTAAGAGGACCCGAAGACTTCCCCAAAGGCAGGGCATCCCTCTCCCGTGCGAGCATCCTTTCCCCGAGCTCATGCTTGGCTCTCCCTCCAGGTGTCAGTCTGGCACTGTGCTATCCGCCCAGCAGTCGGGTGTCCTCGCCAGCCCCGGGAGCTGCGTCTTCATCGGCTTCCTAATTAACAAAGAACCCATACCGGCGCTGGGGATCTCATCCCGGCAGTGCCGTCCCTTGCAGACCTGTAGCAGTGCCCGTCAGGTCAGTGTGGGCATTCCTGAAGTAGCTGTGGTGCAGTGTTTGGTCCCCTTTTTCTGAAGTGCCTGGTGAAACACCTTCTCCTGACAGTTTTTGTTCGTGGGGAACTGGCTTTTCACATGTTTGTTGCAAGCAAAGACATGGGAGGTGCCCTGGGACTCCTTTTCCCACTGTTGGAATTTGCTGCCGTGGGAGAATCTGGCTTGCTCCGAGCCTTCCAGAAAAGGCAGTTTAGTGCCCAGGAATGAAATCTGTTACCAGTCTGACCTGAATTGAGAACGTACATGTAGGAATGTTGGTTGAAGGTACTGCGTGTCTTCCTCTGCGTGGTGCTTACAGCTGTGTAGGTGTACAGCTCACTTTTTCTTTGCCTGTGAATAAAAACAATTGTGTTTTCCCAGGGGACAGGAAGAAGGAGGTCTATTTCAGAATGCTGTGTTCAGGAGTGTGTTTCAATGCAAAGCATGTGAATAACATACAGGCACTGGTTTATGACCATCAAGACCATGTATTTATTTATGTGCATAAAGCACTTTTGTTCTGTATCAATGCGCAAAAAAAGCTTGCAAAGTGCCATATATAGAATACCTTTTTACTGACAGTTACGTTAGGCGATACAGATATTTAAAGCCCCCTGTCATGTAAAACAGAGAGACTCTGTCTCATCTTTTCTTGGAAGCAGCCAAAGCATCTGTGAGATTAACTACTCTATGTTTATATGCAGTGGAGTTACATGTAAGAAAGTAAAGTTCATAGCTTTGTGGAAGTCAAAGAGTCTTTGAAAGAGGGGGTGTGTGTGTAAGAATAAAAATCCCAGGACACCCCCGATCCACAAACTCCATTCGTGAGAGAGCGTAAGGAACGCCAGTACCTTGTGTTTGATAATTAGAGTGACCTTAATACTAAGAAAGCTTGATTTCAAGGCCCTCTTCCCTGAAGATACATCTTTCTTACTCGCACTGTCCCCGCTAGGATTTTTGTGGTGAAGTTCTTCGTGGTTTCCCGTAGCATGCTCCTCAGCATAGAGCCTGAGCGGCTTCCAGGAGCACCCGAAACAGAACGCCTGACATCTGCCATGGGGGGTTCAGGCTCTCTTTCCTCTCCCTGTGGAGAGGTGCATGTGCGATGTGTGCACTGAAGTGACTTGGTTTGGTAGGGGTCTTTATCCTTTTTTTTTTTTTTTTTTTGGCGGTTTTGTTTTCTGATTCAATCCCTTTGGCTTTCAGCTCCGGCTTCTGAATCTCAGCATCTGTCAGTGGTGCAATAAATTCTCTTTGGTGATAAGAGAACAGCTGCCAATAGCAAGAGCAAGGATGGCATTTGGGCTTTTTCCTGCCATGCGAGAGCTTACAGTCAGCAAAAATGCACTGTGCGCACAATGGAAGAAGGC